CCGGGCCAATCCCCAAGGGACCCCAAGGTAGGGGGAAAGGGGTTTCCCCCCCCCCCCCCCCCCCGGGGGTTTTTCGGGGGGGGGGCCCCCTTTCCAAAAGGTTTCCCGGGGGGGGGGCCCCCCCCCCCCCCTTCGAAAGGGCCCCGGGTTTAAAAATTAAGGCCCCCAAAAACTTTTGTCCCCCCCCCCCCCCCCCCCTCCCCCCCGAAAATTCCCCCGTCTCTGCCTCTTGTGATGGGAACTCCCCCGCTTCCGAGTGGTCCATTGTCTAACAACCAAGGCACGAAAAACATGAGCACGCCCCCCCCCCGAATAATCCCCTGCGTCTCTGTCTCTTTGCTCCTGTCCTATCCTTGGCCCTGTCCTGGGTCCGTAGGTGAGGTACAACGACTACGATCGAGCACCGCTGGACTACCTGCCGAACGAGGACATTGACCGCTTCTATGAGTACCACGCGTCCTTGTCCGAAATCATACGGTGAGCGTGGTGTGTTGCTTTCCCCACTGACAAACTGGTGCTGGTGCTGGTGCTGCCGTGTGACATACCACATGTGATCGCTGGAAAGAGTTTGCTGGTCTCTTTCCTCTCCAAGCAAGGTCTGTCGGTGTCGGTGTTTCCACGAGGGTTATTGCTAGTAGCTTCTACCGCTGCTGCTGTCGCCTTCGCATTGAGCAACCGTCGTTGCTGCTGCTGGTGCTGCTGGTGCTGCTGATGTCTTCACAAGAAGCAAAGCCGCTTACCTAACACTGACCCCCCACCCAAGCTACACCCTGCGTCTACAGTTGTCGTCGTTCCCTTGTTTGCTAAACCGACGTCCGTCCAATATTGTTCCGCCCAATGTTGTGCCGCCCGTTGTCGTTACGCTCAACTCCAACCCCAATTGCAGATTGGGGTTTCCGACCCGACAAAAAAAACACTTTCTACGAAAAAAGTGCGTCAGAAAAAGCAGTTTTACAAGACTGACTTACTTTTTTTGCGACACAATTTTTGGCTTCAGAAATCCTGTAACAAAAAAGTGAGACCTTTTTTTCGCTGTTCCGTTCCTCCCCCAAGGGACCCGTCCTTGGTGGCGCGCATCGTTCTCGAGCCCGGAGAGTGCGTCATTCTGGACAACCACCGAGCGTTGCACGGCCGGGAGTCTTTCAAGGTTTGGGCTTGAATCCGGTCAAAAAGTGACGTCATATTTCCAAGTTCTCGGCGAATGACTGTTCCAGTTTACGTTGGCTACAGCAGTATACCAATTTAGGTTCCTGGTGCCACACTGCTGGGGCGAGCGGCATTTTTTTTTTTTTTTTTGGGAAAGAATATTCATTGTATGCAAGTGAGATCCCTCAGGAAGTTTGCTCACAATTCTTCTGAAAGGAAGGTGCATGCATGCGGCGAGAAATCCCCCTTCCCTCATCTCCCTTCCATCACCCAAAGATGGGACGAACATACACATACACGCACACACACACAGCGTTTTGATTTTCAACCGCACTCACTCACCGCGACCGACGTATTTTCATTGGTGAGCCGGTTGTTGGTGCCGTCGATGCTATTTATTGAAAAAGAAACACGTCACCGTCGCTTGCCCGCGCTATCATTACGATCAACACCCTTCCTTCCGATCAACACCCTTCCTTCCAGGGACGAAGGCGCATGGTGGGGTGCTACTTGGGCATGGATGAGTTGCACTCGTCAGCCCGCGTCCAAAGGATGTAGCGGCCGTGATGCGTTGGGCGGTAAACAGTTGCAGTCTGGTTCTGTTGTTGATGGTGTTGTCGTGATCGCTGTCCACGCCGCCACCGCCGCTGGTAGATTGTGCTCTGGTGGTGGTAGTGGGTGGTGGTGGTGATGGTGATGGTGGTGGTGGTGGTGGTGGTTGTTTCTCACGCCCGTGGCTGGGACGAGAGCTATATGCCCGTTGGCTCACGAAGAGGGGGGAAAAATTGCAAGAAGGTTGGCTTGCTTCGATGCATGTACGTACATAAAAGGAATCACATACGTGTTGTGTTCATTCAGTTCAGGTGTGGGGGGGGGGGGGGGGATCCTTCGGAAGTGCTGGCGGTGGTTGCACCGAAAAGAATGGCGTTGATTTTTGTGTAAGGAAGGCAGCAAAGTATTGTTGTAGATTACAGAGCGCAGGCTGGGGCCGTGAGGGTCAGCATGACGTATATATATATGTTCGTTCGTAGCATGCGCACCGTGTCGACGGCGGGGGGGCCTAAGGCTGGTGGACGAGGGGGTGACGCGGATTTTTCTCGACAAAATGATATTTTATTATGATTGGGCGAATACATACATATATTTCTATACAGAAATTGTTTGTCCGTGTGGAGGTGGAGCATGCAGGGTCACCTGTGCGGGGTGTAGCACCGGTGTCGTAATCTGATTGCCTGGTGTCGGGTATCACCGGTCGGTGTCGTAATCTTACAGTAGCCGCCCACACGTGCATTTTTTAGGTAAATGTATGTTTATGTGTGGAATGGTGTGGCATGGCATGGCGTGGCGTGGCATGGCATGGCATGGCATGGCAGGTGCAACCCCCGACGGTGAAATCACCCGGCCTAGAAGGGGTACAACGATAGACTCCATGATAACTTTCTTGATTGTTTTCTTGTTTGACCGGTGGTCTTTGATTATTTTTCTTCGTAATTTTGATTGGCATCGCGTCCCGAGCGGGAGTGATGATGATGTCTCTGTATATTTTCGCATCTCCTTTTTGCCCGAAATAACTCATGGCGACGTGTGACTGCTGTGAACAGTTCTTGTGACGCTGGGACCTTCCCGCATCTATTATTCATTTGTGGTTTGTTTCGCGCTCTTCGTGTATTGCCGAGTTCGTGATGCGTTTTCGGGGGCCCTTTCTTGTTCTCCTTTGAATTTAGAAATAAATGTGCACCCTTTTCTGGGTAGTTGGCCTTTTACCACGGAAAGGGGCCCGTCCTCGTCAGTTGGACCGGCGGTACAATATTCCGTGCATGTTTGAAGGTACGAGAAGAGACCGGAACGGTATGGTCTACAATGTGAAGGACGACAACAACGGCTGCCTCCAACAACAACAACAGCGACCGACACTCGAGGAAGAGTGCTTGGTAGTCGCGGATGACCGCTATATCGGGGCGGCGGCCGCATTACTCCCACGGGAGGGTGCAGTGAAAGCTGTGCTTCTACAACAGCAGTAGCAGCATGTGTTTTATCAAGCGTTCGGTCGGCACGTGGGTGTCGTTGGGACATTCATTTGTCCTTCACGGTGTCATCATCTACTCCGTGGGTGGTAAGGGTGCTTGCCCGCCTGCCACCCGTTGTGAACTACAAAGAAAGCCGAAATCAAACCATTAGAAACCTTGGAGCGCTGGCTAGTCGAAGGGTGTGGTTTCGGCTTCTATAGAACACGATGGATCGTCGTCGCTTTTGCCTCGATGTTTGGTTCAAGATCCGTTGTTGTTGGCTCACATTGTCGATTGTATGTTGCCTATCCCGAACAGGCGGAGGACGGGACTCGTGTATGTGGTGCTGATGAACGCAACGTCATCAGTGAGAGACTGAGGGCACCTGTCTGTTGGTATCACCCGAGCATCGGCACATGCACATGTTGCGAGGGACCCCCTGCAAGATAGAGCAGCGACCGATGTCAACCCGATCTTTCAAGATCGTGAGCGAACGCAGCTGCTGCCCAAACTGGCGACGTCGCGCTACCCCCCCCCCCCCCCCCCCCCCCTC